TTTTTATTTTACATAGCCAGAAAATGTTGGATTATATAAACATCTCGTTTAATATTTCGATTGTAAAATGTGTAACTTTTAGAATAGGTAGCAAACTCTCTTAAAGGCTGTTGTTGAGAAACAATTTTTTTAACCTCATCCGTTTGACACTCATATTGTAATGTGTAGTTATATCTCTCATAAAATTAAGCTTGAATTTTTTACCAGCGGTAATCTTCTTCAAATATAGTTTATAAATAAGGCTTACTTAAACCTCTCCCTTCAAAAGTTTATTAGAAAGAGTTCTTAATTAACCATCTTGTTTAATTTAATTTGTCAACTTAACTGATTTTGAATTGCTAAACAGTTGGCAACCTTCTTGAAAAATAATTTGGAAATAAAGCTCAGTTTCACCTCTATCGTTTGAAACCCTTCGTATAATGTTCAATAGAATTTGTAATTTAAATTGATTCTAAATTTTTAAAGAGGTGGCAACCCTCTTCAAAAATACAAATAAAGAAATAAGAACTTCCTAAACACTTTTCGATCAACATCTAAGCATAATAACACCTATGTATAGTAAAATATTTCCATTTAGTTATTAAAAAAACTGATTTTCACAGTAAGGTGGCAACCCTTTTCTTAACACAAACAAATAAATAGGAACTTCTTCACTCATTTCGATTAACATCTATGTATATTATACCTACATTTTCCGTATATAAAAGGTTTCAATTAAGTTACTAATTGAATGGCCTTTAAATTTGTATGCAGGTGGCAACCCTCTTCGAAATTGTGAAATAAAATATAAGCTTTTTTGACTAACACCCATGTACATATATAAAAGGTTTCCACCAACTTACTAATTATATGGATTTTGAATTAAATTTCGAAATCAAGTTTTTTTTTAAAGCTTTCTCGTTTGTTACTTGTGTACGAGCCACTCATTTGTCAAATTGTTCTCGTATATGAAAATCTTTAGTTTTCCTCCTAATTAAGGTTATTTTTAATTTCTGTGTAGCTGGCAACCCTCTTCAAAAATATTTAGGAAATCAAACTTTCTTATTGTTTTGACTTTTGAGTAAGGTGGAAGCTCTCTTCAGAAAGAGTCCCGTATGTTGATCCAGGCTATAATTTATACATGTGTTTTTTAGTTAGTTAAATACTATTAAAAATTAAACACTTAGAGCATAACTTACTAACTCACTCTTTTGTATGCTTCATAACTCCTAATTGTATTCCATGTCATTCGCAAAACATTTAAATTTGCGCTTTTTTCTTTTTTTAATTTTTCCTACTTATTTTAAATAACTTCGGTATAAAGGGCTTAACTTTCACTTGTTTTTAGCCAAAACTATAAATCCTACTTTTTTATTAATCTGAATTAAATTTTTTAATGCTTAGTCTAGCCAGCTTTGCTGCAACAAATTTTTGGCATATTTACGACTTTGTTGGAAGCCAACACAATTTTAATACAGACCGTAGATTTTGTGGCACTAAAGCTGTCAAGTGGAACATTCCCATATACATACATAACTACATATGTGTGATGGAAAAGCGAGTAAAATGTTTAAGTTAAATTAATGTTTGTGTAAAAAAATGAGAACGGGGTAAACCTATACATACATGTATTGTGGAAAAGTACATATGTACATATATTTACAAATATGAATGAAGTGCTCGATCTGAAACTTTTTAGGTTTAGGATTTATTGAACCATTTCCGAAATATTTGCGTCGAAAGATTTTAAAAGTTTTACATTGAGCAAAGCATTGCCATGATACAATAATTTTTAGAAGGTAGTTTCACTTCAAAATTTTTCACATAAACCGTGTAAACCGTGTCTGTGACAAACACACCATGTGGCAACTGCTATGATATAGAACTTGGGGATTTTCGCATTGGCGATATCGCATTTTTGATTGACAACTGTTGTTGGCAACTGTTATAGATGCAAATTTTATTTTTTCTACCGGTGTCGAGGATAGATTCGGCCGAGCTGTCGGCTTTGCCAAGTCCTGCTAAGGCAATAGATTCGTTGATAACGTGATCGTGAGAATCTATTTTGAGAAAAGGCACTTGTATATCAGCGCGCGTTGCTCCAACAGTCACAATGGCCGCGTGATCAAAGCTGTGATGTGTCTTTCAAGAGATCCGGGTGTGAAACCTCGACAGCTAATTTTATTACTATATTTTTTTCTTTTTTAAACTTAGATTTATTTTAGTTATTAGATTTCATTATCGTAAAAAGAAAAAAGTATATATTTCTCAATTTATTTTTTTTAAGAATAAAACTTTCTTAAAATTATAATTATATATTTTTGATTTCATTTCCCTTTTTAGAAACGTATCTTATTTAATTTTTTTAAGAATTAAATTTTCTTATAAAGACAAGTATACCTATATTTTTTAATTTCATTAAATTTTTAGACACGTATTTTTTTTTTGATGTTTTAATTAAATACTTTTGATTTTGTCAGTTTAACTTTCTTTTAGTTTTAAATTTTATTGTTTCCTAAAAATAAATATGTTTTTTACTTCTCTTAATTTTTGCGATCTTATATTTTTTTCCTTTACTTAATTTTATTTTCTCTTAACAAAATAGATTTTGGTTAAAAAATATATATTCTTTTTTTGGATTCAATTTAATTTTTAATACTATATTTTTCTTTTTTGACTTATTTTTTTTCAAATCACATTTTTTTAAATTTTTAGTTTTTATTGTTTTAAAAAGAACAACATATTTTTGTTTTTGATTTCGTTTAATTTAAAACATTATTTAGTTTAAAATATTTTTTAAAAAGAAAAAATATTTTTGTTTATTTAATTTAAGCTTTAAAAAACTTTTTGCTAAAATGCGTACAACATTACTCTATGACCCCCTCGTTAGCAGATCTTACGGAAGACAGCAAAGAGCTTTCAAGTTCCATAGTTTCCAATTCTGGTAAATTGAAAGACAGTTGCCAGAATAGGCCTGTAAATGTTGATGTTCATAGATAACTCATACGCCGTGGCACGCGACAAATTTTGGTAGACGGGCAAGAACATATGTGACACGTAAAGTTAAAAAGAACCTACGCTCAAAAAAAAAAAAAGATTTCGAGAAAAACGATATGTCACATATGTATATTGGAGTTGAATTTTGAAATGCGAGTTTTGTAGTAATGCACTAAATAAAATAACAAAAGTTCACACCGATCCCAACTCTGCTTGATTATATGCTTGCCAGTCAATATTACTCGCATGCCATGGCGTATGAGTTATCTAGTAACATCAGCATTTAGTCGGCATTTTTCTGTTTATTAATTTATTTTTAAAATGCAAAAGAAAAAATCTATGTGCATGGTGGGGTAGAAACTAAGTTGTATAATTTATTAGGCTAAGGAGCTGCTTCAGCATCTTAGAAAGATGTAGTAGTACTGAAATACGTATATATTTTCAGCGATATATCACACTTTTAAAGCGATTGAAAAATACAAAAACTTAGGAAGAGGTTTCTATTTTGGCGGTTTTTAGTATGGGGACCAACCCAGTCTAATGTAATGTGTACCTCGTATTTTCATACAAATATGAGTACATACATACATACATGTAAAAACATAATGATGCATGTTATTTTGGCAAGCACCCATAACTTGGCTTTAAACTAAATTTACGCTAAATTTGCGCCACATCAAACATGAGTGTGTGCGCCATTTATCTCAGCGCGTTTAGCATGCAAAACGGCGAAGCCACAAACGGTTGCAGGCAAAAATTTTTGGTTTCATTAAAACGGCTTGACAACATGAAATTTTCAAATGTTTTCCCAAAAAAGTATGCAACGAAAACTACACAAATTATTAATGTGTGCTTGCATGCTCGCTTGTGTGTGTGTGTGTGTGTGTGCGGTCTGTGAAGTGGCAAGTGTGTGCGAAGAGTTGAATAAATTAACTAAAACAGCAAACTGAAAATGTGTTTAAATAATTTGCCAGACAGCAAGCCAACCAGTCAGCCAATAAGTGTAGCAGGACAGCAAACAAGGAGGCAAAAAGAAAAAGTATATGTATGTATATGAATATATGTATGCATGAGAAGATGAAGCCAAGGCAAGCTCAGTGTAGCAAATTGCAATGTGCAGCTGTGGGAAGTGTAGTTTAACAGCGCATAACGCTCGAGCCGCAGCTACCGCCTAGTCGTTAGCCTGCTGCATAGCAGACAGCCTTCTGCTGCGTGTACACGGCACACGACCGGCAAGTGAAGCCAAAATGCCAAAGGCATAAAAACTTAAACTTTCTCCATTACCGGGTTAACAGCATGTCAAAGTGTCTGGCAGGCTAGCTGACTGGCAGAGCTGGCAGATTGTCTGCTTGAGTGTTTAAATATCTGCTTACTCTTCCGATTGTCGGCCTTTCCATGCCATGTCATGCCATGCTAAATTGCGACGACTGAGTTTCCGGCTGCAGCTGGCTGCGCTTCACTCTTTGATTGCCCTCCACAGCTTCATCAACACATTGCAAATATCCTGCCATCTTTGCCACTCGGAAGCATGAAAGCAAATTGAAGTGGCTTTTCATATGCCAGAAAACTTATGTTAAAATTTTGCTTATTAAAGTGAAACCACATAACTACGTATGTACATACATAAATGCGCTTTGGCCCCTTAGCGCTTGCGGACAAAAGTTTTTTGTTATTTACTGGCAAAGACAATTTTAAACTATTTAAAGAGAGTAGCAGCACATATGAGAAAAGTTCGTACCGCAATTATAAAAGTACACTCAGGCAAACTGCACAAACATACACATGCGCATTTTTAAAATAATGTGTGTGGAGTTAAATACAAACACACTTGCTTTTCCATTAGGCCTACACCGCTCGTTTTACCTTAAACTGGCAAAGATGTTTTGCAAAGAACTTCACCTGAAGGGGATTTGGCCTATGGCACTGCTTTTCAGTTTTCTTATTCATAAAACTAATATTTCCGCTCTAAAAGTGTGTTGAGCATTTTGAGTGCGTAGGCAGGCTTGCGTTTGCAAATTTTTAAGTATTTGTAAATATTTATGTTGTGTAAATGAAGTTGCAGCAATAAAAACTAATTGCAGGTGCCCCGCAGCACGAAGCGACACAAATGGTTTTTGGACAAATGACATGTACATATACTCAAGGCTAATATGTTCAAACTCTCAAAACAATTCTTGCTAATTTCAACTTCCTTGCTTATAGCTTTCGTTGGCAGGTAGAGTTTTCTTCTATGATTAATATTTTATTTTTCAAAGCATATTGACTACATAGCAGTACGCCGTTTTAATTAGCGGTCGCCAACTGATCGTCGTTTTAAGTAAAAAAAAATCTATTAGGAATTTTCTGAGGAACAAACTTATTTTGTATAAAATTTTTTCAGGGGTACACCTAGTGCGATTTTCAGCAAATAAATATGTAGATAAATTTGACCCTCCAGCGACCGCCAAGTTGCCATTTTTGCAGACTTTCTAATCGGTTAAAATGTTCTACAAAATATATAGGGATATGGAAAATGTTATCTGATTGCAATGAAATTCATACGTCATCATGCGACGAAATGCTGGAGTACCTTATGAGCACTCACCTTCCGGGCTGCTCGGACGACACTTCCGGTAGTTTGCCTAGTCCTAGAATCTACTCATCTCTGGGTGATACCTTTAGGGATGTCGTAAGTGATGAGAGGGTGAATGTCCTTTCAGCCCTGCAAATCTCAGCGACTTGACGGAATCTTCGCGCTCAACTACAGGAAGCTACAGTCATACAGTGCCCTCTGCTATCTCAGATTTTTACAGCCTGCCTAACACTAACCCACATACCATACAAGCGGACAAAGGAGAAAGGTGTGTTCCTACCAAAAGGAGGATTTCTTTCTTAAAACTCTAGAGAGGTTCCTCGGCAAATATATTCGACGGAATTTAAAAAATTCCAACCTTTCCTTGAATCAGCATGCAAATTCCAAGAGAAAATCTAAGGAGACCGCACTTCACGATGTCGTATCGACGATTGGGAAAGGATTGGCCATAAAGGAATACACGTTTGGAGTTTTTCTCGACATCGAGGATGCTTTCAACAATTTCTATCCGAAGTCTGTTGTTGACTCCCTCCCTATGTTGGGCTCCTTCTCGAAAAGAGAATTTTTCTATCTGAACTGGGGGATGGTTCCATTACAAAGTATGTGACCAGAGGCAATCTCCAAGAGGCCGTTCTCTCTCCTCTACTGACGCCCTACTTCTAAGACTTAACGCACTCAGTCTGATAAGCATCTGGTCCAAGGAATATGGTCTTAGTGTCAATCCTACCAAGACAGAAATGATACTTTTCACAAAGAAGTATAAAACTCCTTTATTTAAACCTCCCACCCAAAACGGGGTGGCATTTACTCTCCCAACCGAGGTCAAATACATTGGAGTTATTCTAGACACTGAATACCGCTTCAGGAAGGCCAATTCCGCCCTGTATGCCTGTAAAACGGCTACAGGCAAAAAATGGGGAATATAACCACATAAAGCACACTGGATGTGTACAGCTACGGAGATAATGTTAATTTTCCACCTGTGGATCTCTGGAACAAATTTCATGCTGACTGAGGGATTAACTCGCTTTTCGCTAACCGGACCATTGTAGCGTCTTTCAAGCAGAGTTAAACGCTACAATGGAGGCGGATTGGTAGCTCATAACATCCACCCCTCCAGGACAGCTTATCGATATCTATTCTGACAGCCATGCTGCTCTAAAATCTCCCAAATCTAACGGAGCAACGTCCAAAGTAGCCATTGAATGCAGGCGGACTCTCAACCTGCTGACATCAAAATGCTCTCTCGACCAACGAGCTGTCAAGGAGGTAGACGCAAATATCTGAAGTCAATTCTGCTCAGAATGCGAGCATACCACTAACCTCCTGCAAACACAGACTAAAGGCTGAACTAATTGAGGAGGGCAGTCCGCTAAATTCCACCATTTTTCATATTTACTCATTCAGAGCATATCTCCTACTTTTTGTTACATTTTATATGGGGCTCTTCCACTGTGCGGAACCTCTTAGTATTACACTATACCTAGTACTAAAAATTTGAGTCAGTTTCCGGTCGCACAGCAGGTTTTTTTTGCATGTTCTTATGTATATGGCCTTAACCGGCGAAAACGAAATCAAAGAAAAAATCTTGTTTTCTCATATTTCGCAGGTTTTCGATTATATCTGGGTCATAAATATTATAAGGTATCAGACGATATAAGCATTAACATGAATTTTCTTCTTTTAGTCATGAAAATTCACTTACTACTGAGACACGAAATCAATCCGTGCCATAACTAAAATATATCTTACAATCGTATTTTTTTATACTTGTGTATATAGTATTTGACCTAATTAATAACATTCAGAATAAATGAAAATAAAACATTGAAAAGCCATTAACAATGAAATGGAGCTAAATCAGTAATTTTAAGCGGTTACCTAACCCACGATCCCCGTGTGACTAACCAACAGGCAATTCTAAACCTTCCTAGTGAAAATGACCTATAATAATTTTATTTTAAGTTTGTATCGTTTAAGTTTGGCGTTTCAAATTTTCAGTCAACATTGCATAAACAAAGATTCCAAGGCTACATACTATGTATGTATTTGAAGCAATGCAAGAAATATGAAGAAATGCTATTCCAGCGCCTGAATTTATGCAGCTGCTGGTGTTTATACGTGCATGCATTTTTCCACCACTAAACTAATTTATTATGCCACTCAAGTGCGGTATTTTCTTACACAAGCATGTTATGCATACATACGCATGCAACGCATTTGCACCGTCACCTGATCGAGTCGAGTTTTATTGCTGACCACTTTTACTGTTTTGCCATTTTTATGCAGGTTTTGTTCAAGCCGTCACCAACGCGATGACTGGCTGCTTTTAGCACTTTTCGCTTTTCATTCAACAATTTCTACACGCCATACGCTGTTACCCATTTTCCATTCCCATTTATTGCTTTATTTCATAGTTTAGCACCTATTTTAGCACTTAAATGACTTGTTTGTGGCTTAGAGTTGAGGCTAGGAATCGAAGTTGTTGTTTACGATAAGTTTTGTACGTGACTGCGGCGAGTTCTCTGGGAAAACGCATTAATTCATTAAAGTTTTAATAAATTGAATTATCTTTTTACAGTAGCAAAATAGTTATTTTTCGCTTTTGAGGGGGGTTTTATTATTTTGCTCTTCTTTCTAGTTTAGTTACTTCATTTCTTGAGGTTTTTATCTCCTCCATTTTTGCATTTCTTGTGTTTTCTTAATAAAGTTTCGTACCAGCGTTTGCATGTTGCTCTGGCATCTATGTATGTACATAAATGCATGGTTGCCGTAGCATACACTCAGGCGGATGGAAGAAATATGTATGCATATCCATAAGGACATCTTTTTTAGAAGTTATGCGAACTTGTGTTTTTTATAAGAATTTAAAAACGCATAGCAATAACAAAGGCCAAATCGAGTTAAACGCTGTTAAAATGCGAAATATATTCACCTAGTTGTTGAACAAGCAAATGGGCGCCCCTTACGTTATCAAATGTTACAGCTGCACCTAGTGCTCCTACTCAGATGGTTATCTTATTCGGGGCAGTCTCGATACCTCCCTTTCCTGGAAACTCTGAATTTTTATCTCAGGACATTGTCAATTTTATGCACAATTTAACCAAATCACCGCTCTTAGTATACAGAAATATTCACCTTTCGAAGATAGTCTTACCCCCAATTCTGTGCACTTGTCAAATAATCAACCTTGACTATTTCTCAATAAATTTGCGCCTAGAACTATGCCTCTGAAATTTGTCTGTATGCTAAATTTGTTGTGCATTTTTGAAGCGCCTTAAATTAAATTTTTGCAGCATAGTTTAGGCGTTAGGGGTTTGTCAAGGTTGACAATTTGTCAAGTGCACAGAATAAGGGGGTTAATATATATCTATTATAGGAATATAATTTTAGTTTCATATCAATGCCAGATTGTTATATTTTATGTAATTCTAACAAACGCCGGCGTGCTTCACTGCGTCTCAAAAGTATTGTTGTGTTGTTTGAAACCTTCAACAGTAATATCTTCGGCTGTAAACACTTCTTAAGCTTATTTCTTTTGACAGCCATACTGAAATATTTACTTTGTCTTGGCAATTTACTTAAACTGCAATTTTCAAATAGGTGGCAACTCTTTAATTTTTGTCTTTCTATATTTTAAGTTAGGCTTTTAGCATGCAATTCTATTCATTAGATTTTCGAGTGATGCGCGTACAAACATACAGACAGACAGACAGACAGACAAAAATTCTAAAAATGGTTGATTTGGCTTCTGTAGTTCTAATAAAAGCCCCATACCAATTTTTTTTTAATATCTGTATTGATAAACGTTGATGGGTTGATTTACATACATTTTTGGAAATGCGGCGACTCTATTGTAAAATACTTTCAAAATTATTTGATGTAAAAATGGCAGATACCTTGATGTAATCAACTTACTTAAATTTGACTTTTAAAACAGGTAGTAACCCTGTTCATGAATATTTTGAAGGTGAAGCTTGCTTTAACTAAATACATTCGTTTGACACCTGCACTGCAATATTTCATTTAGGCGCACATTGAATTGAGCTGAAATTTCAAACTGGCGGCAACCCTCTTTAAACATATTTTCGAAATAAAGCATTCTTAAACCTATCTCCTTTGCTACCCTCACCTAAATATTTTATTTAAATTGTTAACTAACTTAGTTTAAACCGTTTTAAAGGTGGCAACCCTCTGCGAAATTTTATTGAAATAAAGCATTTTTAACTCCTGCTCGTTTTACACCCATATTAAAATATTTGATTTAAATTGTTAATTGAATTGTTTTTAACTTTTCGATAGGTGTCTACCCGCTTCAAAAATATTTTGTAAATAAATCGCTTCTGTGCCTCGATAGTCTTGCATTCACATTGTTTACATAAGAAACAAACCTTACTTAAACTCTCGCTCGACTTCCATATTCAAATATTTAATTTAATTTATTGTTTAAAATAATTTTAAAATTCTAAGTA